TTTTAAGATTTTATTTATTTGAGAGAGAGAGAATGAGTGAGAAAGAGTGCACATGAGAGAGGGGAGGGTCAGAGGGAGGAGCAGACTCCCCGCCGAGCAGGGAGCCCGATGCGGAACTTGATCCCAGGACTCCAGGATCATGACCTGAGCCGAAGGCAGTCGCTTAACCAACTGAGCCACCCAGGCGTCCCAAAACCCCTCTATTTTTAAATAATACCAAGCAGCCCACAATCTGTAACCACAAAAGGGATACACTCTCTCCAGATTAATTTAAGGACCTACGTAAAGCAAGGAGCATCTGCACAGAAAAAAAGATAATTTAGTGTTTTAACACTAACAGAGTCTTAGAATCCAGCTTTACCTATGCTTGATGACCGCTAGCACTTTTATGATGGCAAATTCAAATTATAATGTTACATATTCCAAATTATATAGCAAGAAATGGTTGCTAATAAAACCATTTTCCTTTTCAAAGGAAACTTAAAGCAATTAACTATGCTAACTGTACAGAGAAGTGAGCTAAATGTAATGAGCCCTACTATGTACCAAGCACTGAGCTAAGCACTTTGCAGGTAATCTCACCTAACGTTTTTTCCTACAAAGAGAGTTTTATCTTCTAATAATAATTATACAGTAACTTCTGGTATATTTCATCTTCATACTTTTGTCATTTTAGTACACAATTTTAAATGGGACTTTCTGAGCTCCTAAGTGAAGTAACTAAGACTCATGGCTGTGTTTTTATTTGACTATATTAAGTTTTCTCTGTTAAGGAAAAAATATTATTTTCTATAGTAAAACCAAAAGAAATGCCATATGCAGTAAAACAATAATTAACTGTGATGTGCAGGCTAAATCGTAAGGAATCAAATCTTTAAGATGATACCAGCCATTATTTCATTAGTTATTTCAGGAAATGTTTTTATAATATTCTTGTAAAGATTAATTCATGGAGTTTCTGCTTGGAAAGATAAAAAAACTTCTGGAAATGGATAGTGGTGATGGTTACACAACAGCGTGAATGTAATTAATGCCACTGAACTATACATTTAAAAAATGGTTAAAATGGTAAACTTTACATAAATGTTACCACAAAAAAGACTCATTCTACTATTTTGTACAATACACATAATTTAAAACTAACTTACTGTAACAGTTCTAAAAATGTTTTCAGCTTCTCAATTTGCAATAGAAGCACGGCAACCTTGCTGAAAAGAAAAGAGTAAGGGACAATTTTGGCCTGGAAAGATTTACTTCAACTCAGAATCATAATATTTAATCAACTAAAAACAGCAATAGCAAAATCTGTCCAATCAGCAGCATCTAATGTCAACTCTCATACCAACAATACATCACCTTAACAAAAGCATAAAGTGTCTTGGCTGCATTGAGCACTCAATAAATGAATGGACCAAACTGTTTACTAAAACATGTAATGTTTCACTGTTAAAAACAGCCTTCATTTTAAAAATTTAGAAAATAACAAAACAGAATGTATGAACATATTACAGGTATAATTAGCTTAGGATATTCCGATATCCTGAATAAAATAACCGGAATTGTAATTAACATCAGTAAAGACCCAAGAGATGAAAGTGCAGTAAAAAAGTGCAGTAAAAAATTTCTATCTGGGATTGAATATGAACCTGATGAATACTTGCGGTACTATTTTTAAATGAACTTTCTGGCCTTGGGTCAAAGTTTTGCTAGCAAAATACCAAAGTGAAAATGTTGGGAGTGAAGCCCAGAGTCTCTGCTTTGGCCTAGGAAAAGTTATGCCCTTCATGCAACCAGTCCTACACCCAACTGAAGACTGCTAAAGAGGGACCAGGTGTCACGATGCCATCAAAACACATAAACAACACACTAATGCGAAAATCAGTGAAAGACAACGTCAAAGACATCTGACAGAATACAGTACATCACTACATTCTGCTCATTGTACAGAAGACACACTCTTCAGTCAGTTCCTGCACTTTGGCCAAACAGCACTGAGTCACTCTGCAAATGATTCCAGAAACCTCAAAGGATAACCAATGACTTCTGAAGAAAAGTCAGTTAATCACTGGAAAGGGAAGAGACACAGCTTTTCTCAGCATACAGTCACTAGGTTTCTCCCAGCAGGGAGCAGAATTGAACAGGAGTTCTGGTATCTAAAGGGGCCAAGGATCACCCACACAAATTCTCGTCCTCCCGAGTTAATTTAATATCCAGAGCATCTTTTTCACTTTCTTCTCCCGGGGGAAAAATCTGCACCCCCTTTTCCCATAAATCCATCTCTACTATACACTAATCAAACTGTGAAATACAATCGCCTATCCTAACAAAAATAAGAAATAAGCAAGCATTCTACGGTGCATTTCTAATTTGTAAAACATATTCATTTCTTAATCAAGAGCCAACTAACTAGCAGCCTTTACGTGGTTATTAATTTGTATTTCAGACTGCCTTAAGAAAGAGGTACAATGAAAAAGAGAGATTTATTCTCTCGACAATTCAGTCTGATTCTTTGGCTCCGGCTCTTTGTCATCCACCCCAAGTGGGTACTCCCAACAGGGAGAGCATCAGGTTTCCCTGCTTCGACCCACGTCCCCACGCAGCATGCCACTCTTTCACACTGGCTAGCCTGATGAATATAAGACAGCAAATCCTGCTCCCTAGCTCCCCAAAGCGACAGGAGAAGCGGGAAGGAGAAGAGGGGTGTTCCCTCCCAGGGCTCCAAGAAAGAGGCAGCCGGGGATGACACCGGCTCCAGGAGGCAGAAGGGCAAGAAGAATCAAACGTGGGTCTCTACTGCTGGAACTTGGTCGCAGAAGTCTCTGGCCTCCGACCCGGGCCCGGCTGCCGGAAGCGGGGCGGGGTGGGGCGAGACCTCCCTCCCACGGATGGGTGGGCACAGAGGGGGACCTGAGGAAGGCGCTACTAGAGCGGGGAGGGCGCCCGGGCCCCGGCCACCTACCAACAAGCTCTCCACGTTGATGGGTGAACGAGGGTCTCGGATCAGCGCCTCCAGCTTCCTCTGGCGGCTCGCGCCCGCCCCGTCCCCCGGCACGGCCTCGGGGGCGCCGGGCATTTTCCCCGTCGCCGGGGGCCGGCTCATGCCGCCGCCGCCCGGCCCC